CAGACACAAATGTGGACATACTGTACGAGTCAATTAGTATAAAATTCAAATGCAGACAAAACTAACTCATGATGACACAAGTCAGAATGTTGGCCATCTTAGGAGTTAGGATGAGGGGGAGGGCACAGAAAATTTCTAGCTATTGGCTTGACTTGTACATTAGTTAAACTCATCTAATGATCACTGAGATGTGCTTTAGGATTTAACCTCTTTACATATTGAAGAAATGTCCACTCAAAGGAGCAATTTACACCTTCAAAAGAGATCATCTATAAATGCATTTTAGAAGAGCATTAAGCTCACAGATCCTTGGGACATTTGTGACTTAATTTACGTTTCTTGGCTGCATCTAGAAAATGAGACATGAACTCATCTGAAGACTGTAAAGAAAGACAAAAAGATTTATAGGAAATATGGCCAATGTTTATCTGCATTTGAGAAGGTTAATATATGAGATGGGAAATGGAAACATAGTACAATAACTCTGTATTTCATTTAGGGCTAGGCAAGACACTTATTTTTAATGATTTTTCAGGAATGGAAACAGCTTAGTGGAGTAGGTACTTGGCCTAATAAGGCCCTGGTCCTATCTCTGGAACTCCAAGAACATAGAAAAAAATAGAACAAGAAGTTGCAGGAAAGTGAGATTATGTATTGTTTGTATAATCTGTCCCAGAGAACACAGTTTTCTAAAACACCCGTTTAACTTAGGAATAGATATATTTAGGACGTGGTGCTGAGTGCCAAGGTGGGAAGCGGAAACCAATGATAAGTCTGACCAGACTTGTAGTACATGAGCGCTTCTGAGGATACCAACTAGATTTTGATGGACGAGTAACTAAAATGAGAAGAAGATTTTGAGGATTTCTCAGGATCAGAATTATAGGTATTTACAACAATTCCAAACCGTATAGCCTACTTTTTCAAGAATTCTTTTGCTCAGATTCTGCACACCATGAATTAATACTGTCTGTCAATCCCTCCATGCACGTGCTACTGATGATGTTTTATAATTTTTTTTAAAATGTATAGCAAAAAGTAATCTAAACCAAATCTATTTTATAAGCCACAGATAGAATAATTTTCATGTGGTGGGTGAGGTTTGGTCCCACAGTATTTTCTTTCCACCAATGATCAGTAATACTTGCAGAGTGTCTGGTCTTCAGTACTGTATTATAGAAGGCTTCTCCTGCATCAGGAAACCTTTACTCTCTTGCCCATTTGCATGCTTACTTTAGTTTTTAGCCAGTTGTTATGCTTCTGTATAGTAGTTTTCATAGGCATGTAGTAAGAATGCCTACAGCTGATAAACACCTTCAGCAAAGTGGCTGAATACAAAATTAACTCAAAAAAATCAGTAGCCCTCCTGTATATAAAAGACATATGGGCTGGGAAAGAAATTAGGGAAACAACACCCTTCACAATAGCCACAAATGACATAAGTACCTTGGTGTAACTTTAACCAAGTCAAAGACTTGTATGAAAAAAAAAAAAAAAAAAAAAAAAAAACAACTTCAAGTCTCTGAAGAAAGAAATAGAAGAAGATATCAGAAGATGGAAAGATTGCCCATGCTCATGGCTTGGCAGGATTAACATAGTAAAAATGGCCATCTTACCAAAAGCAATCTACAGATTCAATGCAATCCTCATGGAATTACCAACACAATTCTTTATAGACCTGGAAAGAAAAATTCTCAACTTCATATGGAATAACAAGAAACCCAGAATAGCTAAAACAATCCTCTACAACAAAAGATCTTCTGGAGGTATCTCCATCCCTGACCTCAAGATGAATTAAAGAGTAACAACAATAAAAACTTCATGGTACTGGCATAGAAACAGATTGATGGATCAATGGAATTGAAAAGAAGACCAAGAAATAAACCCACACACCTACAGACACCTGATTTTTGACAAAGATGCCAAAACCATACAATGGAAAAACGATAGCATCTTCAATAAATGGTGCTGGTCTAACTGGATATCTACATATAGAAAAATGCAAATAGATCTATACTTACCACCCTGCACAAAACTAAAGTCCACGTGGATCAAAGACCTCAACATAAAACCAGACACACTAAAACTGTTAGAAGAAAAACTGAGGAAGAGTCTTAAACTCGCTGGCATAGGAGACAACTTCCTGAACAGAACACCAACAGCATAGGCTCTAAGATCAATAATCAACAAATGGGGCCTCATGAAACTGAAAAGCTTCTATAAAGCAAAGGACATTGTCATCAGAACAAAATGATAGCCTACAGACTGGGAAAGGATCTTCATCAACCCTATATCTGACAGAGGGCTGATATTCAGAACATATAAAGAACTAAAGAAGTTAAACAGCAACAAATCAAGTAATCCAATTTAAAAAATGGGGTATAGAACTAAACAGAAAACTTTCAATAGAGGAATATCAAATGACAGAGAAACACTTAAAGAAATGTTCAGCCTCCTTAGTCATCAGGGAGATGCAAATCAAAATGACCCTGAGATCTCACTTTACACCCATCAGAATGCCTAAGATCAAAAACTCAAGTGACAACACATGCTGGAGAGGATGTGGAGAAAGGGGAACCCTCCTCCATTGTTGTTGGGAATGTAAACTTGTACAACCACTTTGGAAATCAATCTGGTGCTTTCTCAGACAATTAGGAATAGTGCTACCTCAAGATCCGTTTATATCACTTCTAGGCATATATCCAAAGATACTCAAGTACACAGTAAGGACATTTGCTCAACTATGTTTGTAGCAGCTTTACCTGTAATAGCCAGAAGCTGGAAATAACCCAGATGGCCCTCAACTGAGGAATGGACATAGAAATTGTGGTACATTTACACAATGGAATACTATGCAGCAATAAAAAAACAAGGAAATCATGAAATTTACAGGCAAATGGTGGGAACTAGAAAAGATCATCCTGAGTTAGGTATCCCAGAAGCAGAAAGATACACATGGTACATACTCACTTATAAGTGAATATTAGACATATAATATAGGATAAATATACTAAAATCTGTACATCTAAAGAAGCTAATCAAGAAGAAGGACACTGGGTAAGATGATCAATCCTCATTCAGAAAGGCAAATGGGATAGCCCTTGGAAGAGGGAGAAAACTGGGAACAGGATGGAAGCCTACCACAGAGGGCCTCTGAAAGACTCTACCTAGAAGGCTATCGAAGCAGATGCTGAGACTCATGGCTAAACTTTGGGCAGAGTGAAGGGAATCTTATGAAAGAAGGGGGAGATGAAAGACCTGGAGGGGACAGGAACTCCACAAGGAGAGCAACAGAACCAAAAAATCTGGGCCCATGGGTCTTTTCTGAGACTGATCCTCCAACCAAGGACCATGCATGGAGATAACCTAGAACCCCTGCCCAGATGTAGCCCATGGCAGCTCGGTCTCCAAGTAGGTTCCCTAGAAAGGGGGCCAGGGACTGTCTTGACATGAATTCAGTGGCTGGCTCTTTGATCACCTCCCCCTGAAGTGGGAGGCAGTCTTATCAGGCCACAGAGAAAGACAATGCAGCCAGTCCTGATGAGACATGACAGGCTAGGGTCAGATGGAAGGGAGGAAGACTTCCCCTATCAGTGGACTGGGGAGGGGCATGTGAGGAGAAGAGGGAGGGAGGGTAGGATTGGGAGGAAATAAGAAAGGGGGCTATAGCTGGGATACAAAGTGAATAAATTGCAATAAAAAATAAATTAAGGAAAAAAGAATTCTTAAAGTAAGTTTTATACCCAGGCTATCTGCAAGATGTGAGCATGGATACTCAAACTTGATTGGCTCCCTCATTCTTCATCCCTGGGGGGTGGGGGTGGGTGCCTGAGCCATACTCTGACATTTGGGTAACAGGGGGATCATCCAATTTTCCCCAAATAATTTTCAAAAAATCATACAGCAGATTAGAACGACAGCCTGAGAAAAAGAGGTGGAGAGAGACAGTTGAAGATGTACTCTTTAGGACTCAGCAAGCTGATGTGACTTTTATATACTGACAAAGGATCAACAAGTCACCAGGAACTGGGACTTTTGTGTTCACACAAATTCACACAACATCATTTCACTATGTAATTCTGTTTCTGCTGAGTGGCAGAAATCCCAAATTTCTCTCTGGGTAAAACCCTTTGGCGAAGAAGTATTTAAGTAATTAAGTAAACAACCCCAGCTCTTTATAGCACTGTACAGGTTTGGTGTGTAAACTCCAGGCATCTCCTTGGCCCCTCAGCATCCTGCCCTAGAGTCACAGGCTCCTGTGGCTATGCTAGCTCGGGCTCTGAACTCAGGTCTTCATGATCTTGTCCACTGAATGCTCTCTCGCCAGCCTAACATGTTTCTTTTAGAACTAATGGGCACATCCCCAAAGTTAACCTCTGCTAACACTGCATTGCTTATGTCAGATCCTCTGACCTTCTATAGCATCTTTTCTCCCGGGATCTTCCCATCTGGACTCTCTCCACCCCATTGTTCATATGGATATGTAGTTGTGGTGGTTTGAATAAGAAGGGCTCCCATGAGCTCATGTATATGAATGCTCAGAACTCTTTGATAGGATTAGAAGGATAGGAGGTGTGGCCTTGTTGGAGGAAGAAGTGTGTCACTGGGGGTGGGCTTTGAAACCTTAGGGCAGGCCCATTCTGCTTTCTTTGAATCAGGACATAAAACTCTGCTACTTCTCCAGCACCATGCTGCCTGTTTGCCACCCTACGACATGGACTAAGCCTCTCAAAGTGTAAGCAAGCCCCAGTTAAACTGTTTCCTTTATAAGAGTTGTTGTGGTCATGGTGTCTCTTCATAGACACAGAACAGCGGCTAAGGTAGTGGTCATGTGATCCTTAGCATGTAGTAAGTAGGGCGTGCTATTTTCTAACTTTCATAAATTATTCTCTGTTATGGGCCATACAAAAAGATTGATTACTCACACACAAACCTGATCACAATTTTTAATAACCTGTCTTTCTATTAATTTTATTAAGAGAATAAACTGAGATACGTACCATCAAGCCTTGTTCTCCTGGTTTTCCTGGTTCACCCTTTAAAAAAACATTAATGATAACAAGTAGTTAGAAAGTATTAAAAAAATTTCAGTTATCTTCTCTTTCCCAATATTGCTTGCTCATGTGAACAAGTACTGTTTTCTTTGTTCAAGTAGAATATAAACATATCACAAAGAGCTGATAGCTTCTCTTTGACTGTCATCTTAGAAGCATTTCAGAATTTAATAAAATTAGTCTAGATCCTCATGTGCTCCCCATGCTGACACAAAGACAGAACTCATGCAGGCCTGAGAGTCACTCTCTCCACAGCCTTAAGTAGCAAAATTGAGCAGGGGCTAATGTTGTTCCTTTGCATTAGTCAGAGCTGAAGTAACATGCTTATTAGAGCTGACAGAGAATATTCTGCTGTTTCACATGGCTCTGTTTTACAATGATCAGGTTCATATGGAACGTACTGTTGTGTTTTACTGTCACACCATAATGGCAGCCTCTGGGTACTGGTTTACAGGGATCTGGGCCTGTAATTCTAATATACGTAGATGGTGCTAGTCTTTCATAAATGAGTATTTTTCCAGATCACATTAAAAATAATTGTTTTTATTTGGGGTGAGTGTTTTGCCTGCATTTAAGTGTGTGTACCCTGTGCACGGTCCCCCACACAGACCAGAAGAGCATACTAGCCCTCCTGAAACTGAAGTTTACAGGTAAATGTGAACAACCATGTGCTGGGAGCCAGAGCAGCAAGTGATCCTGACTACCGAGACATCTCCCTAGCACCCAGCTCACTTTTATACTATCTTTTTTTTTTTTCCAGCAGTTATGATAACATATGCAAGTTACCTCTGAGACCATTTTAAAAAGTCAGACCTATTTGTGGAGTTCTTTAGCTTATCTGGCCTTTGTGTAAAGGGTCACCATTGCCAGATGTTGACATCTGGTGTCATCTCAATTACTGTCCACCCTGATTTTTGAGGTGGGGCCCTTCCCTGAACTGGATGTCACTGACTTGTCTAGACTGGCTGGCTAGCAATCACCAGGGACCTTCTTGCCTGTGATGGGATTATAAACCTAGCCTGCTGTGCTCAGCATTGGTGTGGATGCCTGGGCTTGAACTCTGGTGTTCATGCTTGTGTGACATTTCCTGATGAGCCATTTCTCCAGCTCCCTTACCTTTGTCTCCTAATAGTAACTTCTGGCATAAATTTGTTTCTGCTATAATATATAATATTTGATGATCTATCCACTTTTTAGCAATACTATGTTAGACTATCATATTTCTTTGTTTTGTTTTAAAAATAAGTTGTCACACTATTCTCTCGACTGTTAGAACTCACTGTTTATCCCATCCTGGTTTTGTTTTATACTTCTTTTAAAGAATATTTATTTTATGTGTACATGCATTTTCCATGCATGTGTGTCCCTGTACTATGCGTGTGCAGTGTCCTCTGAAGACAGAAGACATGTCGGGTCCCTGGAACTGGAGTTACAGATGGTTGTGAGCTTCCACGTGGATGCTGGGAATCAAACTCAGGTTCTGTGGAAGAGCAGCCAGTGCTCTTAACTGCTGAGCCATCTCATGTTGATCTTGAATTCACAGTATCCTTCCTGGCTCTGCCTCCTGAGAGCTGGCACCACAGGAACGAGCCAAGATGCCTATTATGTTTAACTGGCTATTTGAAGTCAGCCACCGTGATGACTACTTGTCAATGAAAGCTGTCAATACCCCCGAAGCTATGGGGGGGGGGGCTCTCTTCAGCAGCATCAATCTGAGAAAATGTCATACATGAAGCAGACAGGTTTAGGCTGAAATTTGCCACCTTCACATGTTCAGGGAAAGCAGGAAGGAGAAGAAGAAGAAGGAGGAAGAGGAGGAAGAGGAGGAGGAGGAGGAGGAGGAGGAGGAGGAGGAAGAAGAAGAAGAAGAAGAAGAAGGAGAAGAAGTTGGGTCAGCTCCTAATTTCATGTGAGCAAGCACACAACATTCAGAAAGGGAACTGTAGAGGTGATGACAGCAAAAAGGGAGAAAATGCTCTGTCTCCTCCCACATGGAATAATTCTCAGAAAAACAATACAAAGACATGCGTGTTAAAAAAAGCAGCGACAATATACAATAACATAACCAGCTATGGCTCAGTTTAATTTTTTTTCCCCTTGCTTTTATTTTCAAGCATTTCTATTTTGTTAGAAAATATTTTCATCGTTACCTTGGAACTAGAAAAATCACTAATGAAAACAATTTAGGCAACACATTAAATGAAATTTAACTCAGTAATAAACCTTAAAGTCTAGCCCTGGAGCACAATGTCCACCGAGGCCATTTTTATCTCGTCCAGATAGTTCTTTAAATCGCTGAGCTGCATGTACCAACTCGTACCGTTTAGCACTGTCCCACGTGTTTGCTATTGATATGACTAATTTTAGTACTGGGGTCATTTTTAAGCGGTTTCTGTTAGACAAGTCGCAGATGAAAATATGAAGTGATAAATGCGGTCACACCCTCTGAGGCTAAAGTCATTAATTTTATTGTTCTTATTAGCACTCTTAGCCAAGTCGTTTGCAGGCAATCGAATATTGGTAAGCTCCACTTGCCTTCTCTAGCAGTGTGTGTGTGTGTGGGGGGGGCTTTACTGTCTGTGCTATTGGCCTTTAAGGAAACAGTTTCACTATCTGGATTTCTTTTTCTAACTGATATCCCACTTCATCCATAAAGGCAGCAGAATACCCAGCAGCAGGCAGTGTACAGTCACGACTGGGTATTTCTCACTCTGACCTTCCCAGTGCCGACCTAAGATCCATGGAGGTGCTGTTGGCAGGTCTCTGGCCCCTCTTGGCTGAGCAGTGAGGGGAAATACCGCGGAGGTGCCCTGTAACGCTCTCCACTCCTCCTCCCCCAGCTCTCCCTTGTCACCTGGTCTCTTGGCCCTACAGTACCTTGCCACCTGTTCCATCGCACTCCTTACCTCTTAACCGCGAACAAAACTTTGGAGAACAATCCAGGAAGAAACTTACGGGTACTCCTGGCATCCCTCGGGGGCCATCCTTCCCTGTGTCCCCAGGCGGGCCTCTTGGACCAGGAGGACCTGGAGGTCCTGGAGGCCCTGCCTGTCCTTGGTCACCCTGGAATGGAGGGAGGGAATGAACCAACAATAATCATGAGCAATTAATATTCAGGTTCTATTTCAGCACTCTAAATTCATATCATCCAATCGACATTTAAGTTTGAAGAACTGGCCACCATAAATGTGAAGACTGCTGGCACTCTACCTGCCAGCAAGGAGCAAACGTTTATTGCGGGACAGCCAAACAGATGCTATGACACTAAAGCAGCTCTCATTCCAGCAGCGCAGCTCCCAGAGTGCACTGTCTATTACTATATCCAGAGCCATATAAAGCCCTTGTGTAACCGTAACTATGGCAATGCTCTGTTGGTCCTATTTACCCCCATCAATGGGTGGCTGCATTTTCAGCATGAAGACATATTTATACACAGAATCTAAGATTAAGCATGATGGGCTCCTTCTCTATTCCATAATAAATACATAATTTTTTTTCAGAGCTAGAGGGCTCAGGAAATGTATGTCTATTGCTGGTTACAACTGAAATTGTCCTGATTAAAAAGAAAAAAAAAACTGGTGGGCTTTCTGTGCGATAAGTCACCCAACGTAACTTTTTCTGGGATAGTTACAAAGACCCACCCACCACCTATGCGCCATGCATGAAAGATAAATGCAAAGAAATGGTGCCCGGAGCAACAACTGAAGGCGAAGAAGAAACAAGACTCCAGCAGGAAGCAGCACTACCTTAATCAGCCGGCGTTTAATGAGCTGCTGATCAGCAGAGAGAAAGCCATGATTGATTTTAGGAAACACCATCTGATCAGTCAGGTGAGGTCAAAGGTTGAAGTTCAGAGGTGAGAGAGTTGAAGAATAAGCATCAGAAGGCCCCGAGGAAGAAATAAAGATATATATACATTAGGCTCATAATAACCATTAAATAAAATAGAGCTGGCACTCATGTCTGACAGACCCTGGCCTCGGGAAGAAAGACAGCCTTGACATGGAAGGGGTCTAGATTTTTTTTATTAGAAATGAGTCCCCTTTGTATCCCATCATTTGTGTGTGTGTGTGTGTGTGTGTGTGTGTGTATGTGTGACAGAGAGATGGGGGGAGAGATAGTTTGAAGGTCTCTTAGTGAACCCGCTTATAAAAGTGAGTGAACCAGAATGACCTTGTATTCAGCATCCCGAGTGGAAAGTCTGCAGACAAAGCACCAGCTCCAGCTCAGTCAGATTTGCCAACCAGCATAATGTTCCATGAACCAGATACTGACACCCCAAGCTTACAGTACTTAGGATTACTGAATTAGCTGGAAAGCGTCATTGAAATGTATGTGAATCCAGCCATGGATACGAGGCAGCCTCGGAGGAAGCCATGCCTTTGAGCATCACTGTACATGCTTAGCTTCATTAACCTCCTCACGAGGTTCTCTCTTAGGCCCCTATCTGACCTCCCCGATATGCATGAGGTCCCAGATGGCCAACACAGTCACCCGCCATTGAGAGCTGAAGCTTGGAAGTCACATGGCTGGTTCTGGTTCACCCTTATGCTGATTGTGGCTCTGACTGAGTAAGCATGAGTATCATCCACAAACCTTGACGGTGAGAATCTGATTGCTGTGCAGGGCAGCAACTGTGGGGAAGCCTGGCAGGCCCTATGGACGTGGCACAACACCAAAACAACACGGCACAAAACGTCACACAGACATTTCACCAGTAGACAAACAAAACAAGCACATGCCTAAAACCTCCCCTTCCCTCTCAGGGTCTGAGCACACTTTGACACAGGAGGCACAAGAGGCTCCCCAGTAAAAGAGCCATCCCATAAAGCACAGAGCGGCGAGGCTGCGAACTCTTTGGGGCACATACAATGAGATCCTGTGTACAGTCTGAGCTCTCGTTATTTCTGGAAACTTCTTTAAAGGTTAGTACAAAATAGAGACAACTGCAGATATTGTTATGAGAACTTTCTGCCTACTGGTATTCAGTTTACAAATTAGGACATATAATACACGGAATACACATATTAATTCTTTTACCACCAACAGCGGTGAATGGAATTTTACTGTCAGATGTACAGGACTCTTCAGACACAAACACAATTCGTCACATAAGAAAGGGTCACCACCCAACAAATCAAAATGCCTCTGTCTGGTCACGTGACGGCTCTCAGGTCTGCCCTGTGTTCAGGAACTCTTGTGAGGTGGTAGATGGAAATCTGTCTCTTATGGCATGTGTATTTCATGCCAGGCTGATTTATGGTCACACTCCACAGTAATCACTTCTGTCACATAACTTTTCCAAAAGAGTTTGACAGTTCGCACAACCCCATAAAACAGTAAAGTGGTTTTGGATTCCTTAGCCAAGGAGAATGGGGGAGATGCTTTAGGAGCCTGGCCTACAATTGGTATAAAGTTATCCCGGCACTGTTATCAACCAGGGGAAATCTGAAAGAAAAGTTTGCCTTTGTTCCATTTCTTTAAAAAAAAAAAACATTTGAAATTGGAGCCTTTTATTCCATATAAAACCATACACAGAACATGTTTACTCTATAAGCTGATGACAGCCGCAGCAATGAATAGCTTCAGTTTCCTCCGTGTCTGTCCTACCCTTCTGTTAGAGGACATCATTTCAGCAAAGGCCAGAGTGTTTCTAGGTTTTTAGCCACATTAGCTTATTAGTGGGCATTTTCTCATTTTTCTGGTATTGGGGATACGTTTTTCTTTTTAAGACAATCAATAAAATTAGGTTTGTACCATGAAGACAGGCTTCTGTCCTACTGATTCAGCTTTTCATTATCATTGCTTAGCACTGAGTTCTGAGGAAACCAAGTTGAGCAAATCTTAGCCCTCATGCTCAGTCTACTCTGATAAAGGTATTAAATGGACAGGCAGGTTTGAGGTGACCTGTGTCCTCCTTTTCTTCTAAGTATAAGTCCTTTAAGCATCAACTCTGCACAAACTCAGAAATGCCACAAGTTGGAAAACAGATGTGTACAATTTGCTTTTGTTTTTACTATGGAATATGAGTTTAAAATGTTATTAGATGGTAATGTGCCAGGATCCTTCCATCTGCGACTCATTAGTCCTATATTACACAGTCAGAATTTTATATATAAATCTCGTATTTATGTAACAAAGAACAAAAACAGATACAAACAAGAAGTCAAGAAGGGATCAGAATCTTGATTAGTAGTGATAAATCATACTGTCACTTGAATCACGCTTATCTAACACAATAATTTTAAATTAAAAACCTTTTAACAGCACACATGGTATGCCTTTCAAACAGTCTGAAATCTCAACATATAAATAAGTCACTTCTTGTATTCATATTTGAGCAGGACCAGATTGTCACTTGATCATATTTGTAGCATAGTTACACAAAATCACTAAGCTGTGTCACTTCTTGGTCTGGCTCTTGTTTTATAATGAGATCTAATGGGGAAAGTGGCCAGGTAATTCTGACCTGGACAGTTCCTTGGCCTCAAACTGAAGATCGACATTTGAAGAGCTCTGTCTGGCACTATTAGATAACATATCTTAGTCATGTTAACTGTGAAATGCTACCATGAGGGCTCAGAGAGAAAACTTAAAAAGACTTCAGCAATGACCCCAGGAGGGGATTAGAAGGCAGAAGCATAGAAGGACTCTCCTAGGTTCTAACAAAAATCCTAAGACTCTATGCTTTTCAAAGTGGGGGGAAGGGACCCCAAAAGCTTAAGTTAGCCTTAATTAATATTAAACAATTAAAATTTTTACATTAAAACTTTATTGTAAAGAATGTTCAAGTAAAAAACATCAAGTGGTGAAATTTGCCCAAGTTTTTTTTTTTTTTTTTAAATGTAAAACAAATATTGTTACAACTGGAGCAGAATGTATAAGTTTTAAGACATATTACCATTTTGGTGGTGATAATGAATCCCGTCTTACAGAGGGCTACGTTGACCTCACAGACAGACTGCGTGGTTCTTACAGGATGGTGTCAAAGCATTGGTGCTGAACACTCGACCTCAGGGCCTGGCTCTCTATGCTAGTGACTCTTAGGTAGGCTCCCCCAGCTTTTCACGCAGAAGTGCGTCTTTTTCATTAAGCAGGCCACTGCCCCCATCATCAGCCACAGCCCTTTCTAAATAAGTGAAAATGGAGAGATTTCAGTTCGGCTTTCCCTCTCAGACAACTTGCCTGGTATACAGATGGTTCAAGCTGGTGTGGGGGGAAAAAGGTGTCCCAGAAAAAACACAGTGAAAGAATCCAGAAATAAGCTGAAATACTGGAATACTTTGAACATAGTTCACCCCTAAATATTTTGAATTCTTAAGAAACAAGATGTACACATGTGCAATACAGGCTAAGTCATGAACCCTACGTTCTAACCCAAGTTCACAGATACTCAAGACATCTATCACCCACTGCTTTGCTGGCATCCCAGGCGGACTGCAGAACCTGCTGTCACCCTCTGGAAAGCAAAGATGCCCTCGTGGCCAAAAGGACTTACACAGATAGGTTAGGTGATGAGAAATGCTTCTAACTACTTAGCAGCCACAAATTCAAGGTGCCATCATTTTTATTGTATATTCAGTAATGACTCTTGTTATAGCCTTACATTTTAGTGAGGAATTTTGTATTGTCAAACACTGTCAATAAAGCGTCAATCGAGTCAGAAACGTAATCCTAGATGTCTAATTTCAGATTTTGTTATTTTTTTAGGTTGTGTTTGTGATCATTTATCTCTATTTGCTTTATTGTTTAATACTAGATAGCTAAAAAGATGACAATATTTAGGTAGACCTTGTTGGTGGCATTCTATCTAGCACTCACTGGGCTACATCACGAGGATTCAATGGCATACAGGGTCCCAAGCTCATAGCATTTAACACATGAGAAAGTAAAGGAAAATAGGTAGGCAGGAACCATATGGGTTGATAAGTACCACAGTGAAAGAATAGGGAGGTCAGAGCTGGGCATTGTGGCAAACATCTGTCATTCCAGCACTTTGGAGACTGAGGCAGGAGGATCCCAACTTTAGAGTTTAAGGGTAGGTAGACTGGGCTGTTTGGCAAGACCTCACCTCAGAAATAAGTGAGCAAGCAAATAAATAATAAAAAACAACAAGAGGTACAGTAAAGAGGGTAAAATCTGCACCTACTACCCAGATGAAGTTGGTACAAGAGTAGAGTTGAAGACAGAGATTTTTGGGAAGGTGCCATAGTAGTTCAGTTGTACAACTGGGTCCTAGGACCAGTGGAGGGACCAATCAGTGGTTTCCAGTGCTATTAAAGAAGGATTCTCAAAATCTGTTACTTCCTTAGAGACAAAAGTAAGAATGGGGTTAGAGAATGCTCATAGGTCTTAGCCTGAGTAACAGAATGGAGATGGAGAGGGTCCAGAGGAAGAGTGGGGGTTTGGGGCAGATGTTGTCACAGATGTTGAACTGACTCATGGGTTTGCTAAACTTGAACTGAGTGATGGAATGGTAATTGGATATGTCCATAAAAGAAGAGAGCGGCTTGTGTGCACATGCAAGATGTGAAAGCAGAAGTGGAACACTTTGGGAAGAAAAGCAGAGCAGCCTGGGTGAGGGGGCAAGAGAGGACAATAGCTGGTGAATGAGCAAAACATAATGATCTATATGTATGGAAATGTCATGGTGAAATAGATTAATTTTTTTATTTTGCAGATTAAAACACAAATAAGTAAGTGAATAAATGAAGACAGAGCTAGGAATGAGGAGTCTTATGGCTCCATAAAGTTATCCACAGAGACTTTGGAGAAAACACAGATAAGAGGGGAAGAGTTAAAACTTCCAGGATGAGCA